CCCGCCGCCCCGCTGCTCCAGCTGCTGTTCCTGCTGGGGGCGAGGCTCCAGGCTGCGGGAGTCGTGGAGCCACCGCTGCCCGCCGTGGTCCTTACCATCCTGGCCCGCAATGCCGAGCACTCACTGCCCCACTACCTGGGCGCGCTGGAGCGGCTGGACTACCCCCGGGCCAGGCTGGCCCTCTGGTGAGAGAGACTGGGCATTGGCACCCTCTGGGCATGTACCCCCGGGTCCCACGGACAGCCTCCACCCCAGATGGGCTCGTCTGCTCGTCCAGACACCACCCAGACAGGCCCCTCCCCTGGCAGACAGGCCCTCCGCAGTCGCGAGCCCCTGGAAAGAACCCCTTATCCCCTTGGCTCTGCGGACTGACCTCTGAGGACTTAGGCTGACCCCGAAACACTCACCCCGGCCCCTACTCCTCCAATGGGGACCTCCTCTGGGTTTAAGTGGGGTCCTCTTGCCCTAGCTTCAGAGCCCAAACTTAAGCCCCGTGGGCCCTGTGATTGGCTTGACCTGGAGTGGAGCAGACAGGAACAGCTGGCCTTCCCTGGGTCCCCACGTGGCAGAGATCAGCAGGACTGGGGGATCCTGGGGAGCAGGTGAGGGTGCTATCAGTCTGGTTCCATGCTGCTCTGCAGAGGGGTCAGAACTGCTCCTTCTCTGGGCAGGTCCCAGCCTCTCTGTGGAGGGTGTGGGTCCTGCCATCCGAGGGCAGAGCCCCTACCCTAGAATCTCTCCCCCAGCCGTCCCCACAGGGCGCTGGAATCAGAGGCCACAGTCTGTGGAAGCCAGAACAGGGAGGAGTCCCAAGCTGAGGTTGGGGATAAACCGAGAGAAATGACAAACTACCCCCCACAACACACCAAAGTTGGGCTTGGGGTGGAGCGTGGCCTGGGGAGGCGGCCCACAATGACCACAGTTTGGGAGTTAGTTAGTTCCCACCCCGCCAAGACGTGACACGTAGTTAGTCCTCACTTCTGGGGAACTGGCTTAAAGGGGCAGGATCGCCTAAAACCTGGGGTCTTGGCCGAGCCCTCTGCGTCCCCTCTGTCCTGGGAGTCCCTTCCACAGAGGAGAGGTTATGCTCTGTGGTAAGGGAGCTCCGTCCCATCAGCCCTTCTCAGGGGATGTTCAGAGTATGGCTTGGTCCTTATCACAACTTTCGGGCAGGGGAGGCAGCAGCTCTTCTGTCCAGTCCTGAGAGGGGGAAGGGACTGACCTGTCTCCTGGCGAGGACGGAGGGTATCGGGGGCACGTGGCAGGTGTGTTCCTCAGAGTTGAGGTACTTTTTCTTTCAAATGCATTCGTATCCTGTCGTCTCAGCCCATGAGCCACGCAGGACAGCTTACAGTTACAGAGGCAGAAAGTGAAGCCCAGGGACTGATGGGACTTGCCTGAGGTCCCGCAGTGGGTCACAGACCTGTGACTGGGACCCGGCTGCTTGCCTTACTCTGTAGCACACCTCCTTCCGCTGCAGCACCCAAGGGTCTAGCCTCACAGGTGCTGGTGCTCCAGGGGTCACGGCTGCCTCGGGGTTTGGCTCCTCCGTGGCTCCGCCCCCTCACCCTTCTTCCTCCTGTGTCCCCAGGTGTGCCACGGACCACAACACGGACAACACCACACAGATGCTGCAGGAGTGGCTAGCCGCTGTGGGTGATGACTATGCAGCTGTGGTCTGGAGGCCTGAGGGGGTGCCCAGGTGGTGATCTCAGGGGCAAGGTTCTTGGGGAGATGGGCTATAGCTATAACCTAGAGAGGAAAGGGGACAGCCCCAAGCCACAGCCTTCAGGCCAGGGCTCTGTCCGCTGCTCTGCAGAGACGAGGACCACATGTACCTGCCCCAGGGGAACATCTCGTCTCTTTACCCTCTCAGGTCCTACCCAGATGAAGAGGGTCCCAAGCACTGGACCAAAGAAAGGCACCAGTTTCTGATGGAGTTGAAACAGGAAGCCCTGACCTTTGCCAGGGACTGGGGGGCTGACTACATCCTGGTAAGAAAGCCTGGCTACGATGGGAGTTTCCCTCAGGCGGCGGTATCAGTCCCTGATAGACATCTTGCTGTGACTTGACAAACCTGTAGGCTGGACCCTCCAGCTAGCAACCTGGGTCAGAACCCAGACCAGATATTGAGCTTGGATCCCCATGTTTGAGTTCACATTAGCTACTAAGCCTGGATCCCTGAGACAGATTGCAGGGTATATACTGAGCCTAGACTCCTAGAGCCCAGAGTGTAAACTGAGCCTGGTTCCCTGGACTAGAACTCAGAGTAGGTCTTTGACTCTACTCCCTAAGTCAGATCTAAAATAAAGTTCTCACGGGGCACCTGGGTGGCTCAGTGAGTTAAGCGTCTCACTTTGGCTCAGGTCATGATCTCACAGTTTGGGAGTTCGAACCCTGCATCAGGTTCTGAGCTGATGAGCCCCTCTCGACAGCTGAGAGTCTGAAACCTGCTTCAGATTCTGTTTCCGTCTCTCTCTGTCCCTCCCCTGCTCATGCTCTTTCTCTCTCAAAAATATATTTTTTTTCTAAGTTTATTTATTTTTGAGAGAGATAGAGACAGTGTGAGTGGGGGAAGGGCAGATAGAGAGGGAGAGAGAGAATCCCAAGCAGGCTCCATGCTGCCAGCACAGAGCCCGATGCGGGGCTTGAACCCATAAAATCATGAGATCATGACCTGAGCTGAAACCAAGAGCCAGACGTGCAACCGACTGAGCCACCCAGGCACCCCCCTCTCTCTCAAAAATATAAATAAACATTAAAAAATGTTTAAGTAAAGTTCTTAGATCAGCAACTCAGGTTTAACCCCTGGACCCAATCCATGAACCAGTGCTCCAGACTAGATCCTTGGTCCAGAAACAAACTTACCTTGTTTATAGGTTCGAACTTTCTAACGGAAACCCTTCGGATCCCAGGAGATATGTGGGCTCTCTGGCAATCCAGAGGGATCCCACTCAGTGAATCCTTGGGGGTGTAGCCCAGACAAGGCTGGGACCTGTGACAGCCACCTCCCAAAAGTTTGCAGATACAGACAACATTCTGACCAACAACCAGACACTGAGGCTTCTGATAGAGCAGCGGCTGCCCGTGGTGGCCCCCATGCTGGACTCCCAGACCTACTACTCCAATTTCTGGTGTGGGATCACCCCCCAGGTAAGGCTGGGATGGAGGCCTCAGGTCTGTGGGCCATGGCGGGGGAGCAGTGCTCTGGGGAGGACGGGCCGCTGTCATAGCTCAGAGCAACCCTTTTCCCCAGGGCTATTACCGCCGCACAGCCGACTACTTCCCCACCAAGAACCGCCAACGCCGGGGCTGCTTCCGTGTTCCCATGGTCCATTCCACCTTCCTGGTATCCTTGCGGGCTGAGGGAGCAGCCCAACTCGCCTTCTACCCCCCTCACCCCAACTACACCTGGCCTTTCGACGATATCATCGTCTTCGCCTACTCCTGCCAGGCTGCTGGTGAGGACCAGCTCCCTGTGAGCATTCCTGGGGGCCTCTGGGCCTTTGCACATGCTGTTCCCTCTGCTTTGCACACCCTTCTCCAGTCTCCAATTCATCCTGTTAAACTCTTGTTGGTCCAGGTCGTAGCCTTTCTTGAGCCCGCTGTGCCAGTAGGCTAGATGTCCTTCTTCTGGATTCCTGGCACTTTCATGCATTGTTTCATTAGGCAAATGTTTATGGAGCACCTACCATGTGCCAGGCACTGGGGAGACAGTGGTGAGTAAACTCAGGCAGCCTCTGCCCTCCTGGAACCTCCAGTCCAGTCAGTCCAAGGAGCTCACAAATCAATGTGCAATCACAGCCATGACAGGAAGGAATGTTTCTTGATTCTAGGTGCTCAGGGAGCTTAGACCAGAATAGATCTGGTCAGGGAAGGCTTCCTGGAGGGTATGAACTTTGAGGCTGAGATCTAAAATATGGGAAAGCATCAATAAGAGCAAGAAAGAGCATTTCAGGCAATGGGACCGGCAAGTGCAAAGGCCCTGTGGTAGCAGGGAACGTAAGAAGGCAGGTGACAGGACCCCAATAAGTGAGGAAGACATGGCACAGGCTGAGCCAGGGGCCAGCCTATGTGGATCTGACCAGCAAGCATCTGGTCTTTAGCCTGAGAACATCGGGCAGCCAGGAACACTCTGATGTTGGCATTATTTTTAAAATGGAAATTACTGGAGAGTGTTTGGGCTGAATTGGGCTAAATCCAGTCCTGAGAAAGAGTCAGAGACGGGAGTGAGACAGAGACACTGGCGTTGAAAAGAGAATCTTAAGAAGAGACTAATTCGGGAAGAATGAGAAGTGACCATCTAATCCAGAAGTGCCGTATGTGAGCGAGCGGGCTGCCAACAGTGGCCAGAGGGGAAAGTGTGGTAATTGGCTTTTTCATGCAAGGGGTATTGGTGGAGTCCGTCGCAGACAGGCAAGACAGGAAATCTTACCAAGTGCAAAAAGTGAGCGAAGGAAAAACAGAGTCATGGAGAATCCGTGAGAAGCGGAAGTGTTCCCTGGCTTTTCCAGGGCTACCGCCGTTTCAAGGGGCAGCCGCTGGAAGGAATTTTGTACCGGGGTTTTGTCTGTATCATTCAGGCTCCCGGCGCCCGGCTACTGAGTCCCTGCTCTGGACCAGGCTCTGTGCTCCCTGCTGGGCATGGGGTTGACTTTTAAGTAAATACCGTGCGCCTGTCGCTGAAGAATCCGCAGCCCATACGAGATAAAAGGGAAATAAGTAGTTACAATAGAGGTGACAAATGTTGAAGAAATAGAAAAGGTGGAGGGCAGCGCGGGCGGGGCAGGAGGTGTGGGGTTGCGTAGAGGGGTCTGGGCACGAGGTGATGGTGCTGGATCCAGGCGGGGCAACAGGGACGGGCATAGGTGGGGGAGCTTTAGCGGGTGGGGCTGGCCTGGCCCGACGGCTGTGGTCAGGTGAGAGTTTGTCTGCTCCTCCCTCCCCGGGATGCGCGCCACCATCCCCCAGCACCCAGCTGGTACCCTAGACACATCTGTTGAATGAATAAACCATCTCGGCAGAAGGGTCCCTTAGACACCGTTTGAGTAAAGCCCTTTCTCCCTCCAGCCCCACGGTTGGGACACTGAGTCCCCAAGAAGACACATGCTTTGGGTTCTGAGAGCCCTGCCCCGCCTGCAGCACCCACCCAGCCTCTCTCCACAGGAGTCGCGGCCCACGTGTGCAACAAGCACCGTTATGGGTACATGAACGTGCCTGTGAAATCCCACCAGGGGCTGGAGGACGAGAAGGTCAACTTCATCCACCTGATCTTGGAGGCGCTAGGTGAGGGCTGGGAGATGGGGTGCTAGCCGGCTGCCACTGTTCCCTGCCACCCCCTGTGCCCCTTCTCCCAGGCCCTGGACCTGACTGGGCAGTGGGCTTGGGGTCTCAGCCTTACCTCTAATTCATTCCTCGTCTCTGGGCAAGTCCTTCTTGCCGCTGGGCCTCATTGTCCCCATCTCTACAATGAAGGCAGGTGAAGTCTATGATCTCTGAGGGCTCTTCCTGCTGGGTGTTCTGCCGAGGGGGCAAAAATGAAGTGGGGGGCTAGGACTCCAGGGTCACTGCTGACAAGAGCCAGTAGGGATTCATGATTAGGGGGTACTTTTCTTCTGCAGTGGACGGGCCCCCCATGTGGGCCTCAGCTCACGTGTCCCGGCCCCCAAAGAAACCCAGCAAAATGGGGTTTGATGAGGTAAGTCCCCTCAGCCCACAGGAGCGGGGTGAAGAGGTGGGTGGCCTCTCCCCTCCCTCTGCACCCACCCCCGACTCTGCACCCACCTCCCCTTCCTCCTCCAGGTCTTTGTCATCAGCCTGGCCCGCCGGCCCGACCGCCGGGAACGCATGCTAAGCTCGCTCTGGGAGATGGAGATATCTGGACGCGTGGTGGATGCTGTGGATGGCCGGTGAGTCTCCCTGGGGGTGGGGCCCTGGGCAGCTGAGGGAGCAGTGTGGTCCCTTGGAGCCCCCTAGGAATGGGGAGAGCAGACAAATGAATTGAGTGTTAGCTGTTCCAGGAGGTACTCAAACAGGGCCTGAGTCATTGTGTCATAGAGAACCCCAGGGCAGACCCCGATAGGACAGGATGGCCTCCTTCAGCCTACTGGAGGGAGGAGAGTACGGTGGTTAAGGCCCAGAATCTGGAGCCCCGAGGCTTGCGCTCCAGCTCTGTCACTTACCAGCTGGGTGACCTCTGGCAAGTTACCGCCACCTCTCAGCCCTGCTGTGTGAATGGCAGACAATTGTGTCTCCCTTTTAGGACTTGTAAGGGCTCAGTGAGGATTTTGCACAGGGCCTGACACATAGTAAGTATTCCAAAAGTTAGGCGTCTTTATTATTATCAGGCTTATTCTTTTCCATCTTGGACTTAGGTCCCTGATGGGTGGGGGTGGGAGCGGGCCAGTCATGTGGCCCTGGGAAACCAGAGGTCACACGGCTGCACTTGCCCACTGCTGTTTGCCACTTACACCCCCACCCCCACCCCCACCCCCCACCCTTCAGATGGCAGGATGTCCATCTTTTCCCTGGGCATCTGCCCAAGGAGTAGATACCGTGTTCCCCACATTCATTCTGGGGAACATCTTCTGACAGCTTCAGGCCACATGAAGCAGTAACAAGGCTGACATCTCCTTCAAACTAAACTCCAGGGTGCCCCCAACAGGCACAGGCGAGGCGCCCCTGGATGGGTCCCTGGCGGGCACCCCGTACCCCATTAGTCCCGTCTCCCTCAGGACCCTCAACAGCAGTATCATGAGGAGCCTCGGCGTGGACCTGCTCCCTGGCTACCAGGACCCCTACTCAGGCCGCACACTGACCAAGGGCGAGGTGGGCTGCTTCCTCAGCCACTACTCCATCTGGGAGGAGGTGAGGAACCCCCTTTTGGCCCACACCCCCCACAGGCAGAGCGGGGCCACCCTACTCACTGCTCTGTGCTCAGCACCCAAGGGAATCCGTGGGTGAATTCATACATTTTTAAACACCTGGCCGGCAGCTTTTTTGTTTTTAAATTTTTTTTAATGTTTATTTATTTTTGAGAGAGAGAGACAGAGTGTGAGTGGGCAAGGGGCAGAGAGAGAGAGAGACACACACAGAATCCAAAACAGGCTCCAGGCTCTGAGCTGTCAGCACAGAGCCCGACGCGGGGCTTGAGCTCACGAACCGTAAGATCATGACCTGAGCTGA